GGTTTTTATTTCATTGTGGAATTCAGGACAATTTCAGCAATGGAGCGCTACACCAGTAGAAAAACGTGTTTACATTGTTAAAACGTATTTTCATAATGGGTCTTCTGTGTACGCAATCGTCCGTCAGAAGTAACCATTCGCAAAATAGTGCGTAGATTCGAAACTACCGGATCCGTGCAAGATACAAACAAAAGTCCGGGAACGTCCTGCTCGTTCGGTTGAAAATATTCAGGCAGTTCGTGAAATTGTGGCTCAAATTTTGAAAAAAGATTCAAGGCTACATCCTTACAAAATTCAACTAACACAGGAGCTAAAGCCAGCCAATCATGAGCAAAGCCGTGCATTTGCCAACAGGTGAAGGCAAATGACAATCATTTTTGCAATAAAATAATTTCCAGGGACGAGGCTCATTTCCACTTGAACGGTTACGTGAATAAGCAAAATTGTCGCATCTGGGGCAATGAAAATCTTAGACCAATCCACGAAATCCCGCTGCATGCTCAACGTGACATAGTTTGGTGCGCTTTTTTGGCTGAGGGTATCTTGGACCGTATTTTTTTGAAGATGAAGACGAACAAGCTGATACAGTAGACGGAGAACGATACCAAACGATGATTGATGTTTTTTATGGGATCAAATAATGAACATGGATATAGAGAATATGTGGTTCCAACAAGATGGTGCGACATGTCATACACCACGTGAAACAGTAACTTTATTGCGTACACAGTTTAGAGGGAGGCTTATTAGGGACGTAAATTGGCCACCAAGGTCATGCGACTTGAAGCCGCTAGAATATTTTTTGTGGGGCTATGTGAAGAGCAAAGCTCACGAAAATAATCCGCAAACCATTCAACAATTGAAAGAAGAAATTAGGCGTATAATTCGTGATATAACTCTACAAATCAAATGTGTTCAGCAGTAGTGGAACACTTCTTCAACAAATAACACAGTCGTGGTGGTCATTTGGCAGATATTGATTACACGTATAATTGAACACTGTCCAGCTACGCACTGCCATAAATAACATTTAGGTATGTTACGAAACTTTTATTTTATTCGTTACCAACATTCGAAACCTCTTATTGGAATACCCTTTATCTAATGCCCCATGCCATGTGATTTGGCGTTGGGAGGTTGATTGGGCTTGACTGCTAGAGCTAAATTACATTTATATTTTTTAAGATTTTATGCTGTTTAGCCGTGTGCTGGGCAACCACTGGGTAAACGTTTAGAAGGTATCTACAAGTGTATCGCGCAGCAATAACGCTATTCCTTACAACACTGACTATTGTGTGTAAGTCGGTCTCCATTACTTTTCAGGAGAACAGTCAATTGCACGTTTTTTTTTTTAAGAAGCTACCCATGACAAGAAAATTCGAGGTCGAGCCGAAAGACATTATTGCGGGACATTATTCAAAGAAGGACCCTTTTATCCAAGCGGGTACGCCAATGCTAAATAACAAGTTCTTCCCACCAAACCAAAAGATGCTCTTGGTGTTACGCCACTGGAATACACTCCTGTATCTTGACTATTAAGAGTAGTAACTTGGATTTGTTCATTAAGCTGTTTAATTGCATAGTATAATTTAATTTATGAAGTCGGTTTTAATTACATAATGTCAAAAGCAAATTTTTTGTGCACGCCACTGTAGACAATATGTTCAATGAGTGCTTCAATATTTTCTCGGGGCCAAGAAATTCCACTTCATGCAAAAGTATGAGAAAAAATACCCATTCTCACGCGAAACCCCGAAAAAGTCACTTTTTTAGGGATAAATGTAACCCTTTTTTAAAAATTCAATAATTTGTGTTATAGCCAACTTTTGAAAAATTTGAGAAATTACTTTTTTTGGGATAGTCCAAAGATCAAAAAGATGCATATAAAAATTTCCAAGATCAAAAATTGAGAATCTGGCATAGCCCCAAACTTTGCCAAAAAAACATGACTTCCTTTACTCACCCTGTATAAGTGGAAAAATGAAAGAAATATACCGGTCAAACCTTGTGCGTGTTCTCAAAGAGTTGGTCAAGAACCTCCTGAATACCGCAACTCGATATCTCTTTCCGTTCTGCAAATATCGAGATTTGAATTTGGGTAAAATTTTCCATGTTGCAAAGCAACTGTCCACCAGTTTATTTCAATTCAACGAAAGTTCACCGATAGTTCTCACCATAGACATATAATAAAAGAGGAGACAGAACATCTCATTCAAAAAATCATTATTTGTTTACAATCATACATACCGCCAGAGTTATGCATAAGCTAGAAAAAGATGGGCTTAAAAAATGGCATCGCTGTAACCTGCCCATCCATTTCCCCGGCTGCCTTTATCAGAGGCGTGCGGTTTTCCTAGCACATAAAAAAATTAAGACCTCTAAATGTACAATTAACCACACCACTGCTTGGGCTGAAAAAAAACATAACCTCACGTATCGTCGGAATACCAATACAGGGATAGAATAGGCAATTTTTTATAGATCACGCACTGGCGAACCATTGTAGTTGCTGATAAGATATAAAAGACGGAAAAAACACTGAAAATTGATTGAAAATCGCAAATAATCCCAAAAATGCTGAATAATCAATTTTTGACATAAAATGTATGAATGTGTCAAATCCCGTGTCACTGGAGTAAACAACGTTGCCACAGCGATTTCCCTAATACATTATAAATTTACGTTATTCAGAAACTGAATAATTTTAAAAGTAGAAATTACAGATTTTATTTGGAAAAACGCACATTCATATGTGTAGTAAGATTTTTAATTGAGATGATACAAATAAAAGCATGCAATATAATCAACATTCCCTACGTTCTCAAACACAGGCGGTAGATCTAGGGCAATCCGCAGAAATTCGCCAACATTGATTTCTGGCGAAAACATTGTTTGATCGGGATAAAATGTAAACAATTCAGTCTCTCTTTTATTATATGTCCAGGGTTCTCACTAATTAGCTCAGAATAATACACCAATTGTTTTGCATGCTACAGTAGTTAGCTTGCCAATGCCAATTATTTCACTATTCTGCTTAAATTAATGCACTTTCCATTAATAACCTCAGTTCTGGCGAAAATTCACTTATCACTTATCGCTTTCATCAAACCGTACACAACACATCTCGTATTCAAACTGCACTTCAATTACACTCTTATTTGGACTAAACTAAGTGACTGCGCGCTATTTATAGCCGACACTGTATTTGGGAATTCTCTAGAAAATTCCTCTCTACTCGAAGACAATAGAGTTCCCCGCATTGCCGCGCTGGACGTAAGCAACTGGATTCTCAGAATCTGGCCGGACTATCGATGCAATTGCAATTTTTGTAACAAAAGCTTGCCAAACGCCTTCGGCGTTGGGGCTGTTACCAAGCCAGGGGCTTTCGATTGACATAAAAGTATCTCGTGCACGTGCATATTACACCTGAAAATATTTGAAATTTGATAGGTATCGTACTTGATAAAAAAAAATCTTCAACGATATTCTGCGCTTTTTTTGAATTAAACTCTAAATTTGCTTAAACTTGATAATAAAAAAAATTCTCACAAGATATGGACTTTATTGGTGGCACTATAAACTATATATGTGTTCCGCAGTTGTTCACTATTTCAGTTCCCCTAGGATTTCCTAGTGACTGGTTCTGTGTTTAACTTTCTCTCAGATCTCTCTCAGTCTCTCGGTTATTGAGACTGACATTGTTGTTTCATTCTAGATCAAAGCTTTTTCATCGATTCATAGCATCCGCAACTATAAAAAAATAAACTGCCCTCTGGAAATGCTATCTTTTCCTTCAATGTCTCTAGATCTTATGCGTTTCGTTTTCGGCCATGTCTCTTCTTTTCTCTTGTTTCATGTCAATAGTAGTTATTTTATGGTCAGTTCCGCAATTCTATTGAAGTTTGGTCTTTATTATAGTGAAATCATAGTCTCATGTAGCGTTGTTTTGTCATGCCCATTTCTTGTCGATTTTTTTCTTGAAGAATGTATTCATGATGTAGAGCTCGGGCCATATAGTGCGAAATCACCCAATGGTAATTTTTTATCGTTTCCATGTCATGGATGCTCATCACTGTTTCAGTCATTCTCGTATTGGTCCAGTTTTGCTTTTATAATAATTGTCTGACACATCCTTGAAACATGTTCTCATCTTGGTGTCATCGCTGGCTGCTGGCTTTAAAAAATAATTGGCTCCTAGCATGTACTTGTCTTGAATAATTTCGAGCTATTCTTCTCTTACGTTGTAGTATTGTAAACATGATTCTTGTACGTATGCTCTTGATACAGGTAAATGATGATGTTCCTGGCAAGGATATTATGGACGATGATTTTTACTCCACGAAATGAACTCGCTTCTTCTCCGCTTGGTTAGAAAACGTTACGGAGGAGTGAGCTGTTATTCGCCTTTCACTCAGTTCCAGAATATTCTATTGGTCGTGCGTGACTGTCGGTCGAAAGATTTTGAACTATCAGAGATGGAGCAGAGCCTTTGTATTGGCCTGATGTGATCCATGAGAGGTTTGTTTTTTAGGTGTTGTCCCATGTCATTTTCAGCCGTATTATTATAACAGGATTGACAAATGTAAGGTACCTCAGGCGAAAGATGGTGACGGCAATTTTTATGACGTTTTGCATTAACAAGAAAATAAAGAAGGGGTGAAGAAAGGTAGCTATATTTGTAAGCATATTAAATAAACCTGTTTTTTTTTTTTGAAAAATGCCCTCTGATATTTTTTACATAAAAATTGACTAACTTCCCTATTATTTTAAATGGAACACAGTCAACAGTCCACCACAGTTTTTTTACTTGAAAAAAGCTTAAATAATAACAGAACTCGAGAACAAGCAATTTTTCATATAATATGTTTTTACAAATTGTAAAAATTTGCCCTATTCTAGAGCCACCACTACTAGAGTTCTCATCCTGGTGTCCAAGAAACATCAAATTTACTGATTGTTAAATTGCCTGGTAGAGGCCTCTCAAACAATTTAATACTCACCCCCTTGGCGTTAAAAATTTGATAGAACTGATGTATTTTTATTGGTTCATCTCCACATAAACAATACGCTACACTTTCCAGTTGCTCGGCAAAATCGATTTGTTTCTCATTTCTGAAAAATAACAAAAAAAATAAAACATTTAATGTGGGAAATCCGAATAGATCCTTATTCACTAATGCCATTTTAAAAGATTGCCATGCAAAAGTTTTATTAGGTTGATTTTGCCAATTTTTTTACTTTGGTTGTACTCAATGCTATTCACAAAAATTTTTGGGGGGCCAACTTGACGCTTAGCCCCCCCCGTTTTTTCGATTATTTTATCAAACAAAAACAAAAATCAATGCAACTTTCAGTGTGCTGAACTGTGCTGTTAATATTTTCAACTGAGTTTTTCGTTTAACCCTCGTTTTCTCAAAAAATGCTATGGCTTGGCCAACTTGACGCCCAGCCCCCCCGTTTTTTCGATTATTTTATCGAACAGAAGCAAAAGCCAATGAAACTTTCAGTGTGCTGAACTGTGATGCTAATATTTTCAGCTCAGTTTACCCCCCGCTTCTCTCAAAAAACGCTATGGTGGGGCCAACTTGACGCTCAGCCTCCCCGTTTTTTCGATTGTTTTGTTGAACAAAAGCCAAAATCAATGCAACTTTCATTGTGCTGTTAATATTTTCAATTAGTTTTTCGTTTAACCCTCGTTTTCTCAAAAAATGCTATGGCTTGGCCAACTTGACGCTCAGCCCCCCCCGTTTTTTCGATTATTTTATCGAACAGAAGCAAAAACCAATGAAACTTTCAGTGTGCTGAACTGTGATGCTAATATTTTTAGCTCAGTTTACCCCCCGCTTCTCTCAAAAAACGCTATGGCGGGGCCAACTTGACGCTCAGCCCCCCCCGTTTTTTTGATATTTTGTTGAACAAAAGCAAAAATCAATGCAACTTTCAGTGTGCTGAACTGTGCTGTTAATATTGTCAACTTAGTTTTTCGTTTAACCCTCGTTTTCTCAAAAAATGCTATATGAGGGGGCCAACTTGACGCTCAGCCCCCTCCGTTTTTTCGATTATTTTATCGAACAAAAGCAAAAACCCATAAAACTTCTAGTGTGCTGAGCTGTGCTGCTAATATTTTTAGCTCAGTTTTTCGTTTAACCCTCGTTTCACTCAAAAAATGCTATGGCGGGGCCAACTTGACGCTCAGCCCTTCCGTTTTTACGATTATTTTATTGAACAACAGCAAAAAGCAATGCAACTTTCAGTGTGCTGAACTGTGTTGTAAATGTTCTCCACTTCGCTTGAGCGTCAAGTTGGCCGCGCCCGCCCGCATATTCATTTTTTGTCAACGCAACTGATATTCGGCTAGATTCGTGCCCTGCGCCATGAAGCGTTAGCAGAAAATGAGCATCGCAACCAGACGTTGGCACTTCATGTGACTGTATATTACAAGCATTTTATTGATAATTAGGTCCGCGCACTTGCCGCTTCTCGAGCGTGATAGGACATTTCCTTGCGAGTGCGCATATCCGTAGAAAAAAAAAAAAAAAAAGAAAAAAAATTTTTTTGGAAGAATTTTTTTTACATGAAAATTTCAGCTAAAACAATGGCATAATATTGTGTTGGATAAAACTACCGTGTCTTTGGAACTACCCCATGGACCTTTTATACTAGCTATTTAATAGAGTGTGAGGTAAAAAAAAAATTAAATAATAAAACACAAAAGGTAGAAATTGAGAAATGTCGAAAATGCAAAATGTCGAAAATATGAAAAGTTCAAAATACAAAAGATCTTTTTTCTCTTTTGGTTTTACATATTTATTTTTTTGTAAAATGAAATAATAAAATGAATGTTCAGCTGAACTCTCGGCGGAACTGTGTTTCTGTCGCACAACGTCAGAGAAGCCAACTTCAGTGACTCATAATATTTATTCAAAATTTAATAATACATACATGCGCTCTATTTTTTATACGCGCTCTTTTTTTCGTTTTTGATCAGGTTCATAGAAACAGAGATTGGGTGACATTTCCAGGACGGATCAGTTTGGGTTAATTTGGATTAGGTACATTTCATGTCTTTGCTTGGAAAAAGGAAACAAGAAGGAACAGCGCCTAGTACGGTTTTCAAACGAAAACTAACCCGAACTAACCCAAACTAACCAAAGATAACCCATTATATCGAAAACTATACGAAACTAATTCAAATTTACCAAAAAAGTTCTGGGGCCTTTGAATAGACACATTGATTAATTTTTAAACTCTTAATAAAGGTATTTCTTCATTCCTTATCGCATTTCGCATTAAAACATGTGCCAACAACTAGCAATAACTGCCAATTTCCAACTGATTTTATTTAGAGATATTTTCAAGAACGCCAGGCAGGCTCTATAAACTGCCAACGTTAGTCCACTTCGATCATAATTTGCCTACGCTGTGCTCGAACGAACACGAACACAGCCGAAGGTCCTATTACGTTGGCAGAAAATGAATATGCCGCCCGCCCTAGCATTTTTTGAGAGAAACGAGGGTTAAACAAAAAACTGAGCTAAAAATATTAGCAGCGCAGTTCAGCACATTGTGAAAAATGCATTGGTTTTTGCTTTTGTTTTTTTTTTAACCAAAACTTTATTTCTTTACATAAAAAAATTACAATATTTGACAGATTCTCTAAACAGTGCATTGAGCTCTGGCCTCGAGAATATAAATCTTACAAAGCTACAGAGTGTTTATTTTTCATTCTGATTGGTTATTACAAGTATCCATAATATACCATACAATACAATACCAAAAATAACAAATAAACAACCGTAATTTACAAAAAAGAGTTCCTTTAATTGTTTAACAAAAATATTGTACCTTATTCCACTCTTTAATCCTGCAGGTAGTGAATTAAATGTTTGGGACGCATTCACAATGGGATTATAAAAGCCTATGTTGGTACTGGTGTTAATTTGGTATAGGTATATCATTTATTACTCTAGTTTCATAGTTATGAACCTGCTTAGTTTGGGTTAGATATGTATTTGTTTTTTGGTGTTCATTCATAACATTAAATATAAGTTTACATTGCTCAATTTGAAGTATTTCTCCGAGTTTATGCATATGTAATTCTCTATACAAGGTATCTGTATGGGTTAGCCTAAGTTAGCCTATCATAATTGTACAATATCTTCAAAATTTTGTTCTGCTAAAGATTGCATTTTACTGAAATTTGTTTTAGTGCACATTCCCCATATAAGCATTAAATATCTAAAGTGTGATAGAAAGAAGGAATTGTAAATCATTGATTTTCTTTTATTAGTTAAATAAAAATAATTCCTACTCCGAAACATAAATGAGATCATAGGTAGAATTTTATTTGTAATTTTTTCTGTGTGTTCACCGCAATTTAGTTTATCATCTATCATTATTGCTAGATATTTAATTTTGGTAACTTTTTCCAGTTGAATGTCATTGATTTGGATCTTTATATAATTTACATTTTTATTTTTTTACGAAAAACCCATATATTTTGTTTTGTTAATATTAATTTTTAATTTGTTCGAATACAGCCAATCAACATATTTCTGTAGGTCACTATTGATCTCCCTGCACATCTCATTTTCACATTTCCCAACATATACTAGAGCTGTATCATCTGCGAAGGTGTAGTAACGCGCTTTAAGCTGAGCATTTTGCAAATTAAGTAGGTACAGGAAGTACAACAGTAGCCTAAGGACCGATCCCTGTGGAACACCATACGTATTGGATTTTGATATGCTATTTAATAAATAGCATAATATGCTGTTGTAGTATAACATACCCGGGTTCGCTCAGTAAAATTGAACGATGAGAATTTTTATTACCTTTTAAACAACAAATCTTCTGAAAATTGAAATGAAAAACAAATAGGACCTACGTTGTGGAAACTTACTCAAATTTACTTACTGGACATGCGCCCGACATAGCAAATATTTGGGAAATTTAAGGGAAGCTGTAATATGTAAAAGAAACGCAAAATTTGTGAAACGCCTTCTTTATTTTCAAAGAAAAACGTACCGTTCTCCACCTGGAATTAACGAGGAAAAAGAGAACGGCAGAGAAAACCTCGATTCCCCAAAAATCGAAACATACTGTGTCATTTTAGGTAACTAATCATTGTGAGTCATTAATTCAATAATTTAGGTCAATAAAAGTTCAAATTAGGTACCGTCCCTGTTCTTGTGCTAAAATTTCAATTACACACTCAACATTCAATCAACACTACCTATATTCCAAACTGAAGAGTTTTTGTTAGTTAGCCGGTCTGCCGGAAGGTACTGAGGTCCCATACGGGATGCTACCCAGCTATAGTTGTTTTTGAGCCAATATCTCTAGATTGATTATTTCAATTTGTTAGGATATTCTCTCGTCAGGGTAGGAAAATGTTAGTAAATTCAACAAGGCACTAAAGCACGCTTTAAATCCAAAAATCAAAATCCTAGCACAAAAGGCCACATAATTTCATAGGTTTTAATTTACTCTTTAGCTGTGTTGTTTACAGTATGAAACGATTTTGGTTAAATACATAAACAATGCACATGTTATAAAAAATTGTTATAAACAAACAAAAAAAACATAAAAATTGGGGGAAAAAAAAAAAAAAATACAGTAGTGTCGTGATAATCCGGATCAATTAAAACCAGACCAATCTGGATTATCAAATTATTCGGATTACTAAGGCATTTTACAGTTCGCTTTTAAAACTATTTTGAAAAAATAACATGCCGTATTTAAGCAAAAAAACTTTATATTTATTTGAAAGCTCGTCTATAATCGCTAACTTTTCGTTGAGACTTAAAGTTTTGTGTTTGCGTTTAATAGGTTCCATTTTCTTTAAAGAATCCACACAGTCAGGAAGGACGCTGCGTATTAAATGATGCGTGTAGACATGTGAAAAACTACCTATTCACTTGAACACAGTTACAAAACGACAAGTGAAAACCTGTGCTTTTATTTTCAAGAGTCATGTGAATGAACTCGGATTACCTAATCAAGTAAAATCCTGATTACAGAGTCATTTATCGAGACACTACTGTACTTGCGTAAATTGAACTCTCAAAGACCAAATAATAACTAATCCACTAACCTGTACGTTCCTTACA